GCTCTGCAATTTTTTTTTGAAAAAATGTCCACACTTTTCTATTGGCCCAGGTGATGGGATCGAGGAGTCTTGTATGGGAGAGAACGTGGGCTGTGGAGTTGTGGAAAATCTGGAGTTTGTGGAGGAGATATCTGAAAAGATTGACGAGCAGGGCATTGGAAGCAGGGCAGACTAACTCCCTCCTTGTCAGTCTTCCCAGCTCTTCCCTCCACAAGATGCAGATTATTCAGAACTCTGGAGCTTGTGTCCTCGTGTCCAGTGCCTCTCATGTCAGGAGGCAACCCCAATCTCCAGTATTGGCCAGGCATCCAAGCTAGGGGTGGGAGCCGAGTGGGCTGGGGAGGGAAAATATGACCAAAAGCACGATGATAGAGATAGGTCTTGAAACAGACCTTGGTCAAGGCGAGGGAGGGAATCAGAGGGAGGAAATCTGGAGAGTAGGGGTAGAAAGACTGAAAGCGCCTTTCACATCGAGAGTACGTCCGAAATCAAGATCGTCATTCTCACTGCCAAATTTCTCCTCAACCGCACCTCACCCAATCTCTGTGACCTCCTTCAACCAGACTAACCTGGCCATTCTCTTCTTTAATCAAGCACTGACTTGCTTCATGTCCCCACCCTATCTGTTCCATATTCTGACACACTCACACTCTTAAATTCAACGTCATTCCATTGTGACAGGTGCTGTATTAGTGTAAATTAAATTGTATTGAGGTGCCTGTGCAACTACATGTCTTCAGGAAACTTGGAAGAAAAAAATTGCGAAGGAAGGAAAAAAACATTTGTGGTGTTTCATAACATATTCCTCGTGTTAATTAATACAAGGAATATGTTATGAAACACCACAAATGTTTTTTTCCGTCCTTCGTAATTTTTTTGTTGTATTCTTTACTCCTATAAATTGCTCCTACCTCCCCCCCCTCACCCCCCCACCTCTCCATTACCACAGGGTCACTATTAAAAGAAGTTATTATTTTGTGAAAAGACAGATAAAATTGTACTCCTGTTTGAGCTACATGACATTCAGGCATTCTTGTGTGGCCCCATTGAGTTAAAAGCTTTACTCAGAAAAGTACAGGTTACACACATTTGAGATTCAGATTTCAAAGTGAGGATTATTTAAACCCTAATTAGTGTTATAATACCAGCATTCTTCCAACACGTTCACTGAAAAAATTCAATAAAATCACCGGCAAAGGTGTTGCACAACATTACAGTGCGAGAATCAAATCCAGATTTGCTCTCCCATTTATGAACCTTTAGGGGATCCTGGTTAATTTCACTAAATCACTGCTGAAAATCCGCAATTCTTACTAAAACAGACTATTAAATAGGAATGTAACAATATTAGGAACATAGGAACAGGAGGAGGCCATTCAGCCACTCGAGCCTGTTCCGCCATTGTATTAGATCATGGCTAATCTGTATCTCAACTCCAATTACACGCCTTTGCCTCATATCCCTTGATATTCTTACCCAATAAATTGCTCAATGGGAAGGGATGTGTGTCCGAGCTGTAGACAGGAAGACAGTAGCCATGCTCTCATGCATTTCATGCTGAGATGCGTTATCCACCAGGAAGCTCACAGGGAGTTCTTAGTATCTACCATCCACCTGGTGAGGCTCAAACCTGCGCTTGTCGGATTCAAACGACCAACTAATGACTGTACTCCGGCAGGGAGGTAAGTGGGGTCTCCTTGGAGCTGAACTGACTCCAAGGTGACGTGCTTGGCAATGGAATGTCGGAATTGAGCCAGCCCCCTGTAGTCCATTTCCTGAGCCAAGTGGGTCCACAGTATTCCAGGGCACTGCTGATGACAACTTGGTCAGCCTGGCTCATTGGCAGGACCTGGAAGGGCAGACCAGCCACTGGGGCAGGGGGTCACCCCACTCAGCTCCTGTTAACCCTACAAGCCAAAGCCTTAATAGGTAGGGTGGTCCTAGCTGGACAAGCAGGGGGTAAGTTTGCCGGACAGCAATATCAATGGCAGGCTTTGTGGTTTTAGCTGGTTAAACACGAGTGCTACCCTAACACACACTCTGGGGTCCCCAAGCCTTGGCTTTTGCCAACCTGTCCTAATACTTTCCAGCGGTAGGTAAGCAGGATGCATCCCTCCAGGGAGAGATTGTGTATTCCATTCCAACAATCTATCTCTGGGATTTCCATGTCTGGAGGGATGCATAGAAATCTCAGCTTGGTTTGGATACTCTTAAGCATGGTGAAAGGTTTCTGCACGTGTGAGACACCCGGCTGACCTCCTAATTTTTTTAAAATTACCTAATAAGAATCTTTCCACCTCAATCTTGAAAATTTGAATGGAATCCAGCATCCGGAGCCTTCTTGGGGAGAGAGTTCCAGATTTCCACTACCTTTTGTGTGAAAAAATATTATGAAATATATATGTAAATTTCATTACTCTTGATAAATGAAAATAAAGGAATCAATTGAACATCTTGTCAATGATGCTCATGGCTTGATACAATGCAATACAATATACTTTTACATAGTATCATTCTCCACTGGAAAGCGTCTCAAAGCACTAATAGGGTTAAAGCCACCATAACATTCTAGGTGTGCTCAATCCAGATTACACGGGGGATAAAATCCAACAGATCTGGCCAAAGACTCACTAACTAGTCCAGGAAGTCGAGCTCAAGATTGGAAATTATTGGTTGGAAGGGGGAAGGTGTTGGGAATGAAATCCTTTTGCTATCGGCACTTGAGGTGTCGCTGTACATTAATGAACCGGCGAGATGTCCCAGGAGGTCATTTAATTTCTCCATCTCTCTTATTGTTACTTTGCAAACGCCGGGTTAATATTACCAGCCCAAAGAAACCCACGTACCATGAAAAACTGCAGGATCGCCAACTCTATTTCTAAAACACTAAAAAAAACATGGGTTTGAGCCAGGAACAGAAAACGATAAAGCTCGGTATCCACGCTGTATGTAATTCCACCCCCCCCCCCCCCCCTCCCTCCCCATAGTCTTGACTAGAACTGATCTGCAGTCAGTGTTCAGCTGAAAACAGTAGCACTAACACACATTGTGAGTTGAATACCATTCAAGCAATAATAATAATAATAATAATAATAATCCTTGAATTTGATAAGTGAAAGGAACAGCAGCCGAAACACAGTCATAAACAAACTCCAACACACACTGGGCAAAAAATAAGAACTTTGCAATGTAATGGGGTGAACTCCAGAGACTATCTGTCTGAAAGCTCGACAGCAGCATCTTTTTTTCTCTGGAGGTGGGGGGGGGGCAAAGGTTTTGAATGACACACAACGCTCCCTGCGGACAGCACAGAGTGACCGCAACTCTCTGGCCGAGGATTTTAAGGGGTCTGTGCTCCCAGGGCAAAGGCGGGGGGGGGGGGGGGGGGGGGGGGTGTGTGTGTGGTGCAAACTTCCTGGTCAGTGCTGCAGCTGTGAGTGAGTGAGTCAGTGTTACAGAGAGGCAGGACTGTGGGAGAGAGGACTGAGAGAGGGAGTGCACACACACACACACCATTTATTTGTGTGTGTGTGTGTGTGTGAGGGGTGGGGTGGGGGGGAGTGGAGGAGAAGTGGCCCCTCTCACAGGTGACTGGGGAAACGCAGGAGCAGGAGGGTTTGACAGGGGAGTCCCTCTGGCACTAGCTCTGGGGTGATGGGAAACGTGAGTCGGATGGAGGGAAGTCAGATAAGCCATCGCCGGTGAAGCTGCTGCTGCTGCTGTTGTTGTTGTTGCTGTTGCTGCTGTTGTTGTTGTTGTTGCTGTTGTTGCTGTAGGGAGTCCTGGAGCTGATGGGTTTTTTCTCCGCCAACATGTTCTGCCGGTGTCACCTCTGCTGCTCAGTGTTCGCCCGTCTCTCTTGAAGCCTTTTCGCTTCACCCCCACACCTCCCCCCACCACACCCCCCACCCCACCCCCCCCCCCCCCCCCCCCCACACCGAGAGCTGCGAGAGGACGGCAGGAGCACTCACTCATGGAAACCCCAGACACGGCCACCGGTGGGGGGTCGGACTCCGCCACCGAGAAGTTGCAGAGATGTTGGAAAGAAATGAACGGGCGATGAGTCCCGAGGACTGAAGCGCAATAGTTTCAAAGAAGCACAGGGTTCAAATCCTTTCCACTCCACTACCCCCCCCCCCGCCCCCAGCACTCTCCCCCCACCCCCCCCCCACCACTCTCCCCCCCCCACCCCCCACCACTCTCCCCCCCCCACCTCCCACCACTCTCCCCCCCCCACCTCCCACCACTCTCCCCCCCCCACCCCCCCCACCACTCTCCCCCCCCCCACCCCCCACCACTCTCCCCCCCCCACCCCCCACCACTCTCCCCCCCCCACCTCCCACCACTCTCCCCCCCCCACCCCCCCACCACTCTCCCCCCCCCACCTCCCACCACCACTCTCCCCCCCCACCCCCACCCCACCACTCCCCCCTCCACTCCCCCCCCACCACTCTCCCCCCACCCCCCCCCCCCCCCCCCCACCCCTCCACTCCCCCCCCCACCCCTCCACTCCCCCCCCACCACCACTCCCCCCTCCACTCCACTCCCCCCCCACCACCACTCCCCCCTCCACTCCACTCCCCCCACCACTCCACTCCCCCCACCACCACCACTCCCCCCACCCCTCCACTCCCCCCCCACCACCACTCCCCCCTCCACTCCCCCACCCCCACCACCACTCCCCCCTCCACTCCACTCCCCCCCACCACTCCACTCCCCCTCCACTCCACTCCCCCCACCACCACTCCCCCCACCACTCCACTCCCCCCTCCACTCCACTCCCCCCCACCACCACTCCCCCTCCACTCCACTCCCCCCACCACTCCACTCCCCCCCCCCACCACCACTCCCCCCTCCACTCCACTCCCCCCCACCACTCCAATCCCCCACCCCCCCACCACCACTCCCCCCACCACTCCACTCCCCCCCCCCACCACCACTCCCCCTCCACTCCACTCCCCCAAATCAGATTGTGCGATGAGTTTGATTTGCATTGAGGGGCGCGTTTAACGTGATTTCCTTTTCTTGTTGGTTTCCTTTTTTTTAAAAAAAGGGGCTTTTGTTATTCGTGTCATCGTTTTGTGGTTGAGTTGGTGGAGGTTTTTTTTGGGGGGTGGGAGGGGGGAAGAGAACCAGAGGGAAAGAGAGGGAAAAGGGAAGAGGATGCAGTCGAGTGTGTGCAGAGTCAGGGCTGAGAAACAGAAGGCGAGACACGGCTCTGTGAGGGTGGAAGTGGTCCTCGAAGGAGGTGCTCCCTGGGGGTTCACCCTGAAAGGTGGACTTGAACACGGGGAACCGCTGATCATTTCCAAGGTAAGGAAAGTCCATCCGCCCCCCCACCCCTGTGGGAGAGAGCGGAACCCCACACATTCCGCTCACCAGATGCCAGACACACACACAGACACACACACACACACAGACACACACACACAGAGACACAAACACACAGAGACACACACACAGAGACACACACACAGACAGAGACACACACAGAGACACACACACACACAGAGACACACACATGGACAGAGACACACACACAGACACACACACAGAGACACACACACACACAGACACACACAGAGACACAGACACACACAGACAGAGACACACACACAGACAGAGACACACACACAGACAGAGACACACACAGAGACACACACACACACACAAAGACAGAGAGACACACACAGACAGAGACACACACACACACACAGAAAGAGAGACACACACACACACAGAGACAGAGAGACACACACAGACAGAGACACACACAGACACACGCAGACACACAGAGATACACACACAAACAGACACACAGATAGAGACAGACAGACCGACACATAGACACACACACACACACACACACAGACACATAGACACACACACAGACAGACACACACACACACAGAGAGATTGTTCATTGCGTTTGTCAAACGTTAATTAATTCTCGAGTCAGGAAACATGTAACAACCCCTCGTCCAGTGTGATCGGTAATTCATTACGTGATACAAAAGCTTAGGATGTCTGTCCACATTCCTTTCCCCTCCAGTATTCTCTCCACTTGGAAGTAAAAGCAAATTGAATCAACTGTAAAAGTTGAGGGTTTTATTGCATCCCCCATCCCCTGCCCTGTCTGTGTGCACTCCTAACATCGCTGTACCCCAGCACTCTGTGTGTGTGTCTGTGTGTGTGTGTGTCTGTGTGTGTGTGTGTCTGTGTGTGTGTGTGTCTGTGTGTGTGTGTGTCTGTGTCTGTGTGTGTCTGTGTCTGTGTGTGTGTGTGTCTGTGTGTGTGTGTGTCTGTGTGTGTGTGTGTGTGTGTGTGTGTGTCTGTGTGTGTGTCTGTGGTGTGTGTGTGTGTGTGTCTGTGTGTGTGTGTCTGTGTGTGTGTGTCTGTGTGTGTGTGTGTGTCTGTGTGTGTGTCTCTGTGTGTGTGTGTGTGTCTGTGTGTGTGTGTGTGTGTCTGTGTGTGTGTGTGTATCTGTGTGTGTGTGGTGTGTGCGTAAAAAAAAGTCGTTCTAATCTACATTCAAGGAGAGCGGATTCCTGGGTTTGTCTCTTCACTGAAGCGCGTCTTTCCTTATGAGCGGAGAGAGAATGCGAGAGAGTTGGGATTTCTGTGCTGAATTAATGAGTGCAAGAGATCCGGTTTCCACAACAACCCGTTCTTTTAATGGCAAACATGCTGCGAGTGGCTGAGATGCCACTGGGAGCTGCATCACTTAAGACGCATTCACATACCAGCGCATCGCAGCTATTGAACTTCGGTATAGGACTAATTTGCAGGTCAAACGATAGAAAACCCTGCTCGTTTCCCTCTGACCGCTACTGCTTGCTGATGAAGTCTGGCTAACTTTGATGGAGCACGTCACATGCGGTAGGCATAAGTAAAGCAGCAATAAGCCCTGACAACGCTGCAATTCAACGGAGCCTTTGCAATGATTCCTAAACCCTGGGAGAAATGTTTGGCAAACTCTTTATCCGGCGAGCACAAATATTTAACTACACCTTTAAAACCCTTCCCCAGTCATTTCGTAATACATAATAGTAATAATCCTTGCATTTGATATAGCGCCTTATCACGTCTTTGAGACGTCTCAAAGCGCTTCACGGCATACACTAAAGTGAATTGCCTGTATATTTTGTGGGCGAAACCTACAGGATGTATTGTTTGAATGAAGCTCCCATTTTCTTACACTTTTGCTGTGGGCAGCCTGAATGTGTTGGTAAAAGAGAAACGAGGCTGGTTTAGGATCTTATGCTCAACGTTATGGTGTGATTAGCATTGCATCAGGAACTTCCTTCACTCAGTGCATTGCAGGAAGTGAACAATTTTGTAAATTATAATTGATCCATTTGTGAATTTGTTCAGTTATTTATTGATGACTATAGGATCCCATGGCTCGTTTTCAAAATAAGAAGTGAGTTTCTCCCAGTATCCTAACTTAATAATCCCCCCAAATAAAATTGGTCACTCGCTCCATGGTTGTTTGTGGCACACTACTGTGCGCAATTGATTGCTGTGTTGCCCCCAGAAAATACACAGTTGATCCACTTTACTGTATATCCTGTGAAGCATTTTGAGATGTCTCAATGACATGATAAGGTGCCAAATCATGTCTCAATGACATGATTTGATATATCAAATGCAAGGATTATTATTATTATGACAATTGTGCCCCAGTTTTCTCCTGTTTTCTGAACCATGCAAATGCTTTCATTGGTCAATCATTCAAATGGATATTCTTCACCTGGAGCTGGGACGCTTAGTCTTGTTAGACTGTTCAACAATGCTCATTCTGGCAAAGGTTCACCAGATAGGAAGACATGATAGAAACCTAGCTCATTGACTTCTCTAGCCCAGGAACACTGAGGCCTGTTACAGTGCACCAATTACAACCATCCCACGTAAGCCCAGATCAGAGATTGAACTTGTGACAAACTGTTTGGCTCAGGACACTGCCATGCAATTCCCCACTGTATCGTGGGGTTGGGGGAAGAAATATCAGTATAGATGTAGATTTATTTTGCATGAGAGTATAAAAATCTCCTATTCTGCTTTGGCCATGCACTCATTATGTGTGGTTGAGGACAAATTGAGCCATTATTGCCATTTAGCAAAAGACTGTGAAGTGGAGGTGGCCGTGAATAGCTATGGGACAAGTCTGCTTTCAATAATCTCGTGTTTAAGTGGATCTGGCTTGCATTTAGTGAACCCCCACAGAAGTATTACTTAAATTGAAAACCTAATAATGTGAGAATAATGCCAGATTCTGTTATAGTTGGTACAGGGTACCAAAATATACAGTAGCATGTTTTAATTATACTATTCTTCACTTAATGGAGTTGAAAATGTATTTAAACAGCAAAACTCTAGCATACATACTGTATTGTCTCATATTATAAAAAGTACCTTGTTTATTAAACTGTTTCTCCAGCAGTGAACTTGGTGTACGTCACATGAACCTGATAGCTGCAAGACTAGATCATGTCAGAGCTGAGATCTTGTAGGTTGGGGTGATGTATGTGGGGTTCCTATTGGAACTTCAGTTTATAACCTGAAGTGTCATTATACTGCAATTTTTGTTGTTCAAATATATTTTAAACCCCAGTGTTAGAAAAAGTAAATCTGTTATTTGAATGTTTTAATTGCTTTCCCTCGAGAGTGCTCCAGAAGCCTGGACTTGTTAGAGCTATTTTCCTTTGAAGATGAGACAACTAAGATGGGACCTGTTAGAGGTGTTAACATTTTGAAGGGGTTTGATAAAGTGAACGTAGTGGACTGTTTCCACTTGCTAGTGAGTCCACAACAACATGGTACAGTGCTGGATGCTATGTGATGTATTCTTTGTGTCAGTCATTATTTGGCCTCAGATGAGTTGCCCATTACATATGTTTTTATATCATTGTGGGACAATGCAGTTTTAACTCATTTGAAGAAAGCATACTTTTTAGAAAATAGTTTAGGAGTTTATTTTGTGCAGCAGGTTACTGTTTGGTGCAGTGCTTTAGAAGAAGCACCTGCAGGAAGAACTTTGTACAATGTGATGGAGATTATGTGAAGTAAGAACATAAGAATTTGCTAGGCGAAGGAAGACCAAGGTCCATCTAGTTTGCCTTCCTCCATCATGTCAGTCGCTTGACATGCTGTGACCCAAACTAGATATTATTTTCTAGCAGAAATCTATCTAATTTGTTCTTGAAACAAATTACATTTTCTGCTTCCACTGTATTTACCAAATAGCCACAGCATGTGATTAAGATTTTAATTACCATTTTTAAAAATAAAATAGATTAAAAGCTACTCCTGTAATACTGTGAATGCTCTTAAGTGTTGTTGCTATTTATGAGATTGAACTTTGGGGATCCTGATGTTGCCATCTCCTCTTTTCTTCTTCTAATGCATGTTTTTATAGATACTGGCACTGGTTTGCATTTAAAACAATGAAAAACCACTCTGCACACAGAGGTTGTACTGTGCTACACCCTTTTCGTTGCTTGCAGTGTGGCATTGTGAGCTAGCTGTGCTGTGGTACTTCCGTTTGCTTTTCTACTGCAATGGCCTGAGATATACAGGGAGCATGAAGATCTATGCACACTTCGGTTCAGTGGATTATAAATGCCATTGATTTATGATAATGACCTATTAGCCTGCCTCAGTGGTAGCACTCTCATCTCTGAGTCAGAAGGTTGTGAGTTCAAGACTTGAAGCTCATGTGATCTAGGCTGACACACCAATAGAGTGCTGTGGGGGGGCTGCATGTCAAAGGTGTCATTGGAGATGTTAAACTGAGGTCCTATTTGCCTGTTCAGGGTGAACATTAAAGATCCTATGGTACTATTTGGAAAGAGAAAGGAGTTTCTTCTGGGATCCTGGTCAACAATTCCCAAATATAAATTGATCATTCTCTTCATGATTAATTAATTAATCCTTGGATTTGATATAGAGCATAATCACGTCATCGAGACATTTCAAATTGACTGTGCATTTTGTGAGTTTTGCTTAAGCAATATCCCACAAACAGCTGTGGAGTTTTATTTTAACAAATTATTTTCAACCAACTGATTTTATTTGGGGGGTTTGTTAGTGAGGAGACCGGGAGAAACTCCCTTCTCTTGTTTAATTGCGTCATTGGGTCTTTAATGTCCAACTCACCAGCAGGCGAGAACTTAATTAATATTCCAACTGAAGGGCGGCACCTCGGACTATGCAACACTCCCCCAGCGCTGTATTGGAGTGTCAGCCTGTCTGTGAGCTCAAAGTCCAAATGTAGGGCTGGAGCCCACGACCTTCTAACTCAGAGATGAGAG